GTGAATGGGTGTTGAGATTTTGAAGTCCAATAAAGTGCATCCATCTATCCATCATAAAAAGTACTCTTTAAAAAAATTTAAAAGTACTTTTTATTATGGATGGATGGATGCACTTTATTGGACTTCAAAACCAATTCACTGCCATTATAAAACTTGGAAGAGCCAGGACATTTTGATAATACTCAAATTGTATTCATCTGAAAGAAGAAAGTCATATACACCTAGCATGGCTAGAGGGTGAGTAAATCATAGGGTAATTTCATTTTTGGGTGAACTATCCCTTTAAATTACATTTGAATGCACAATAATAATCCACATTTTCTTCACAAAGGGGACACCAAGAAATTTAATAGGAATGCCCTTAAACAGACCTACATTCACATCAAAATATTACATTTAAAGGAAAAAAGGTTTCTGGGTTTGGTGCTGTTGGTCTCTCTCTCACCATATTATTATTGCGGCAGTGGAAATGACTATAAGCTTTCCTTCGACTGGAGAGAGCAAACAGGAAGTACTTGACTTGAGCTTCCTGTCAAGAGTTGGAAGATGGTTTACATTAGTGCAACATTCAGAGAGATGCAGCTGGCATAATTTTGCCTGAGGTGATGAAACATATTGTCACCTTGGGGGCACTGTAGAACAGACGGAGTGTGTTGACCTCCTTCCACGCCTCAGGAGGAGCTGGAGGGATGGATGAATAGATTCGGATAAAAATAGCATGAAAAGGAGAATCAGGCATTATCTTCTGTGCAGCTGTGATGAAAACTGGTAAGCCTATAAATATACATGTGCACACAAACACAGACCTGAGAAAGTGACAGGGTCATCCTGTGCTCCTCCAGGTTTCAGCACTGGATGTCTAAAGAAGTGATAGTTCAGCACTGACATCCGCTTCTCAGGACTCTCTGTGAACTAAAGAGAAACATGAGTCAATAAAAACACCTTAAACACACACAATCACTGTATTAGGACACGACTCACCTGCCCGGTTTCAGGTTCAATAAGGTCGAAGAACACCCGGACTGTGGCCAGAACCAGCTCCTTGCACCTTCAAGTATAAAAGGAATTCACATTAAAAAGGATGAAATTAGCCATTATGAAGTTAAGCTGCTTAAAAGCTAAATAATTAGCTATCAGTTTTATTTCTCTCTCAATGTTAGGATGCAAAAACATACCAAACAATGGAAATATGATCGGTGGAAACCCAGCTTCGGGGTACTGCAGTTGCCTTAAACCAATTCAGAAAACACTGATGTATCAATGTATGGACATTAAAAACAAATCAGGTTCTACTTGAAACAATTCTCTTTGGTTAAATATTTCAACCTGTAACTTTAATAGCTAGTAGACCTACCACTACTGACATCTTATTGAGGTCATCGATGGGACAGGACAGCGCCGTCAAACCAGAGCGCACCTGGAAGTCAAGGTAACCACCACCCACAGAGAGAACGGTTACATTTCGAAGGTCTTCGGCACTTGTGGCCCAGCGATGTCGGACTCTAGAGTAAAACTCTACCACAGACACACAATTCAGATGTTAGCACACCAAAAAAAAAAACTGTACGTTTGCAATCAAACTTTTTGTCTGAGAAAGTATAATATTATAAGTATAATATAGCAGCAGAATTTTTTTCTGTTTTTGAAAGAAGTCTCTTATGCTCACCATAGCTGCATGTATGCATGCGAGTAAAAATACAGTAAAAATAGTAATACTGTGAAATTATTACAATTCACCATAAATGTTTTTCAATTTAAAGCTAAATTTTCAGCAGCCATTACTCTCATCTTCAGTGTCACATGATTCTTCAAAAATCATTGTAATATGCTGGTTTCTTATTACCAGTGTTAAAAATAGTTGTGCTGCTTAATATTTTTGTGGAAACGGTAATACATATTTTTTCAGGATTCTTTGAGGAATTGAAAGTTCAGCAATTATTTGAAATGGAATTTTTTTGTAACATTA